AGAAGAAGAAATTATTTTCAATACTCAGTTCCCTCCCATATGCAGGGTTACTGTTCTATTCTGTTCAGGCTGACTTGTGTAAAGTGACTGGAAACAGTTAGGATTTATTTCTCCCCTTATATTTCTGGTTGGTTCAATACTGTACTGTTTTCATATAAATTAACTTTATACATTAATAGGTGGTAATTATGATCAGTTCCATTTCCTATTGAAGATATTAAAAGTCAGAGAGGTTAAAAAATTGCCCAAGATCACACAGCTAGTTGGTAAGTAGCAGGGTTTGGGCTATAAAATCAGATCTGGCCTCTGCTCATCTTCTTCTCCAGTCTATAACATGGCCACAAGTATGTGTAATTTTGTAACTCAAATAGACATCATTGGGACCAGCAGTTAGCGTAATGTGTCGCTGGATTCCCATGTAGTCGACCGCGGTGGCTTAAAACTCACACCAGGTGCGTGTGCGCGCATGCCCAAGATCCCAAGAGGAGAATGGAGAAGAAGGGACTGCGGTGTGGCCATCCCCCCGGGGGGTGATTTCTCGCTTTCTGTCTCTCTGTCTCTCTCTGTCTGTCTGGCGAGCACACACGACCTATAGCAAAAACCTCTCCAAAAAGAGAAGGGAAAAAGTAGACATCATTCATCTACACACTCATACACACATTCTTCTCCCTGCCTCTCTAATATTCTCTCTTACTCTCTCCCCAGAGAGAGTGAGAGAGTAAGCAAGAGAGAGATCTTTACATGGATAGAGATGGATAGAAATAGAGATATATACTAGAATTCCTTTCCATTTTATTTGCCACTTTAGGTAATGATTTCATAAAACACTTTAGGGAGGCATTTATAACTCAGAGCAGGGCCAGATTTTCTCACAAGAAAACATTTTACATGGTCACAGTGATGGAGTAAACAATGGTAATAATAAATGCTTTCAGTTAGATGTCAGCCTGGATAAAATGTTTGGTTTGTCTGGAAATAGCTATCTTTTCCCACCAGTTACAGCCTTGTATTGTGTGCTTCTGCTAGCAAATAAGAGCAAAGAGGGAGGGAGAGAAAACTGGGAGAGAGACAGAGAAAGCAGAATGAACTCTCCTGAACACCCAGCTACTTGAGTAGCTAAAACTAGGTTAAATATAAAGCTTCTTGTTTCAATTGACAAAGAGGTCACTGGGCCACTAGGTAACTGGTTCAAATACCAAATATTCTTGCTTTACATCTCAAAATATCCTTGTTATCCCAAAGGTGCTGTTCTGCAGCAGCCCCAGGGCTGGCTCCAAAAGGCTAGGGGATTCACCCAGCCTCAAGGGATTTTCAGCCATTAAAAATGGAGAGGCAGCACTCTGGGGTGTGGGACGTAGGTACCAACTTCCCTCAGCCAAGTTCTCCGGATCCAGCAAGGGAGACAGAGATTGACAAGGTCCTCATTAATGCATCCTCATTTATTGTTCTGTTCACTCTTTTTTTCTTCCTCTTTTTTTAAAAGAGATTTTTGCTATAGGGCACGTACACTTGCCGGAAAGACAGAGACAGAAAGCAAGAAATACCCCCCTGAGGGGGGGAGGATGGCCAAGTCACAATCTCTTCTCCATTCTCTTTGAGGATCTTGGACATGCACACACACATGCCTGGCATGAGTTTAAGCCTTTGGGTGCAGGACTCAAACTGTAGTCAACTACATGGGAGTCCAG